ATTTCTGTTCCACTTAATATTGCTTGTAGCTGTTGAAGACAAATTATGTAAAACTGTATCGAAACACATTAACCAATCCAGATAAAATCTTGGCTTTTTGAGATTGCAGAGTAGTGAGCACATACACAGCGAATGCTCCGGATTTCGGTGTTGTTCTGGTTTTGTTTTACAGAGTCAAAAGTTTCCTAACTTCAAAAGCAACTTAAAATCTTTTTTTTTTGGAGGGCGCTCAGGATGTCTCATTTTGGCTTGAAATGTGGTTTGAGCATAAATAGGCTTTTGTGAGATATGAGAATTCTGTCATCATGTTCCTGGATTTTTACATGTTGTGTTATGGTAAAAACAGCGGGCAGATTGCATTTATTTATCTGCTGGAAAAGTCAGAAGATTTTTCTTACTTATCTGGGAATTTAGGAAAAATCCCTCTGGGAGTTACAACATGCCTGTGTGGTCAAGAGTAAATCAGGTGCATAACAGCTCTGTCTAATACTCCAGACTCCTTAGGGCAGAAGCTGCTCTGCGGAGAGCAGGGTTTTGCTGTCATGAACATTACTGATGTACTTCTGGAAGTGTTTCTTCAACATGTTACTTGTTTCAAGTTTATGTACTACAAAAAAAAAAGAAAAAGTGGATGCCAGCAATGCTCTGCTAATTTTTTGCATGTCTCTTATTTATTTATAGGTTCAGACTTCCAAGGGCAAAGCAACACCAATGCTTGTGGGTACAACTTGTGTATTGGGGTTTCTAGTTGTGCTGGGAAATGACTCAGTTGCTGAGACAGCAGTGACATGAACTGTGGAAGTAACTTTAGCTACCCAAAAGCAGTTATTTTGCAAACTTATGTGACCTAAGTATATTTATATTTATATTTACAGACATAAGCTGGTTCTCTAAAATATGCGTGGAATTCACTTACACCCGTGACATGCCTGATACACACACATATCTGGTGGTTGGCTTGCTGACAGTATGGGAAAGTACTGGCTCATGGCACACACAGTTCTTGTCTGTCTCTTTGAGAACCTAGCCTGTGGCCTTTTTGTGTTTCCTGTTCTCAGTGGGCTCTGCTGAGTACATACGGATGAGAGAGGAGTATTCTTAGTTATTTTTATGACTGTAAGATGAACCAAAATTTAACTTGTTACTTTAAACTAATACTTCATCAGGTCCACTTATTGCCTCCCTGATAAAATACACACAAAAATACCTGTCGGACAAATCAGCTGTCTAGGGAACCGATCACAAATGGAAGGTTTTTTTATTGAACTACTTATTTTTCTCCATTTACTATCAGAAGTGACCTTTCACATACTAGGTACTACCAGCACTTTGAGTAAGGCATACAGATTTTCGTTGCTTTGGGGCTTCTGAGAGCCAGGGCCCAATTAGAAGCTTTCTCTAAAGATAAGTGAACGGGACAAAGGATGCAAAATAAACTCGAGGCTTCTGGCTGAGCATGCAGACATCTCAGATAATTTGCTGGGTTTTGTTTGTTTGTTTGTTTGTTTGTTTTCGCCAAATCCTCAGTCATTCCCTTGTCTCAAAAGAAGTTTTATTTGTGAAGGATTTCTTTAAAGTTACTCCCGTTAATCACAGAGTTCGGTAGAGGTTTGGTGGTGCTTCTGACAGATATTCCTGTAAGGAGGTGAAAATAATAGAGATTTGTTCCTTAATACTGTAAATGACAGCAGATTCAGCAGCTGTTGATTGTCCTCCTCTGTCATTGATACTGCGCTGCACCAAAGTGTGGTAAAACTTGTTTCCGTCTGGACTCCTTTATGTTCTGTAAGGGAGGGTGTCAGCATTGTAGGGATGGTGCCTTGTTCCTGACGTAATGGGTGCTGAGGTTTTCATTATTCTGTTTCCAGCTCAAGGATGCCTTTTTGTTGTCAGGATCTTTGCATTTCCTCTCTTCTCCAGTCCCCTCAGGTTCCTCCCTTCCTCAGAGATTTTTATACGGAGAACAAGAAGGAAGACGGGTATTTGGGTATTCAACAGGTGGTGGAAATAGTAGCACACTTTAATGTTCATCAAAAAAGGATCTGTCGCAAAGCCAAGTAACTGACCTTTTCTCCCTGTCCGTCATGGGACTTTTCAGGGTGAGCTGGGCTCTGCTGCACAGTGAGCTTGCGTGATGTGCGGAAGTTCACAGAGTATCCTCTGAGCACACGCAGAGCTCAAGGGAGCTCTGAGAATGCCCGTTATTAGGTCCTTTCTGATTAGTCCACCCTCCACCAGTGTGTCTAGGTGTCACATGCAGACTGTGTGGACTTTTTAGGATTCCTTCCTTCCTACTGAAGCCTGCACAGAGTATCCCACAGTTGTGGGGTTCACAGAGGACTAAACAAGATGCTTCTTGCTCCAACTATAGCCATGGTCTGCATGGAGAAGTTAGGTTCAGTTTAAGACTGTGTTCATTGTGGAGGTCAGAGGGAAAGGCTGTGCTTAAAACAAGCTCTTTCTCTACCTCTTCCCTCAAACCCTCCAGGGCAAGCATGGCCAAGGTCCCCTGTTGCTACAACTGGGAGTCAACTCAGAGACGCCGAAGCAAGTCAAGGGGTGGGCAGACTGGGGAGGAAGGAGGTGTAAGAAGTTGATGTAGGTGCCCTGCTGTCTTAGCCACTGTTGCCCACATTAGGTTTCCAAACAGCAACTCAGAAGCATTTTGTTTGAGATGGCAGCATGGCTTTCTGAGCCTTATGTGGCTCAGAAGAGGCAGATGTTCTGCACTGCATTGGTCTTTGAGGTTTAATGCATATATTATATTGTTTGTCAGTTTGTGGTATCCTTGCAGGCTTTGTGGTTAGGGGTTCCTCCACTGAGGCCTGCTTTATTTATCATTCAGCATTTTAATTGCACATAAACCTCTGTATCTGCAGCTCCTACAGCAGGCATCTCTCTGAAGAAGCCTTAAGATGTCATAATATTTGAAAGAGAAAAATGTGCATTTTTTTCTAGCACCTGTAATTTAGGTAGCAAAATAATTGGGTAGGAAATATCTCTTATCTCTTGTTGAATCTGATATGAAAGACAGTTACAGCTTTTCAAGCATGGCTAAAACTATGAATTATCCTACAATATTTGGATGGATCTAATTTAAGCAGCTGTCAGACAGAAATATTTTAGATTCTGTGTATTAGTAACACTTGCAGAGGGGCTGTGACTGTTTCCAGAGACCTTTTTGTTGTGTGAAATGAGAGGAACTCACTTAGAACAGTAAACTACTGTGGAGATATTTGAAGAAATAAATTGCTTGCAATAAATAATTGTTCCTAAGAGAGAGAAGGAGAAGTTTGAATGGAATTTAATCATTCTTACAGCATCGTTGTGAGAGGCATATCAGAAATTCTAGGAGGTCTGTTAGTTTAAACGTTGGCATACTGTTCAGATTACTGTAAGAATTATTCTTTGCCATTTCAGGAGCACTGGGGATATTGGTGTGCAAGTTTTATTTTATGTTATTTTCCATGTGAAGGACACGTTCAAAAAAGTAGGAAAAGTCTTCAGTAATCATATTACATCACTGTTAACCAATAAAGGCTATAAGGACCTTCTGTAAGACAAATCACAATCAGAACTTAAGTATCAGTTGGCAATTGGGCTATAATTCTGACTAGCTTTTATCCTATCTTTTGATATGGTACAAATCCTTCCTACCTAGCCTGATTCTCAGCCTGGGGCTTTAATATTCTGCTTAGTGTTCATTTTATTTGGTTTGATGCTCACCTATTGTATTTTGCTGAAGTTTGTTATTATGCTTTGCCTGAGCTGAACTGCTCTACCTGATGATGAAAACAAGAAAATACTGTCTCTCCTGCAATGAGGATTTATTTGAAAAAATGTAATCTAGTGGAAGCACTTAATGCTGTAAGGGTATGTGTGCCTTAATCCAGGAGACCTGCTAGTGATGCTCTGAGCAGTTAAGATTATGTAAAGGAGTTGCACAAAGATCTTGAATCTGCAGATTTATTTCATGTTTCTAGTGAGATACCCAGTGGGTGGGTACTTGCACTGTAGACATGTGCTTCTCAAACTCCAGATGCCACCAGAACCTGAGATGCAGCAGTGCTTTGCAAGTGATGCATACCTGAAAGGAGTTGTTCCTGGTCACGTGCAAAAAAGGAAGGTGACTGCTTGGTAGCTGTTGATTTCGTCATGTTCTTAATACCCAATGTGGAAATACTTAACTGTTGAGTATGTTGGGTAGAAGAGCTTGCCCGTGTGATATTTTCTATCTCGAGTCCATTTACTTGCAGAGAAAGGGAGGTAAAAACTAAAGATCTCTCAAAGAAACAACCTGCTTACAAGAAAATATTTGAAAGGCTCTCTCATGGCATTGAAAGAGAAATAATCCAGCAACCTTGTGCAAGCAGCAAAGAAACAGGAAACATAACAGAGCTGCATGTTCCCAAGTCTTTTAGTTTCCTCAGCTTTTTGCAATGCAAGAGTCCGTAGATGCATGCTACAATGATTTTTTTCTCTGGCAGCTTTCATGTTGCTTGAAGGTACCAGAGTATTTTCCATGTGATAGTAAGATCTATCATCTCTGGATGGTCATGTCTTCAGCCATGAGAACAAATGGTATGATTTGCTGTGGATCCTGTGTGGAAGGATGCTTGTATGTAACAGCACATGCAAGGAATGTCCTTTAAAATATCTGAGTGGTCTAAGGCCAAGATTTCCCATCTATTAAGAAGGTAATATGAGATCTGACCACCTGAGCACAGACGATTATGTTCAGCCTGCACCTCCTGCAAAAGCTATCTGTATAAGGTCATGATACACCAAACAAAATTCTCTGTGAACAGGCAGGTTGCTCTAATTTGTGCTGTGAAACTTTGAGAAATCTCCTTATTGTATTCAGTTTTCATAGCCTCTATCACAAATTGCAAATTTTAAGCTGTTCCTGTAGTTTTGTCTTTTGGTTGTATTAACTGTATACACTTATTGCCCAAAATGGTGTGTACAGACCTTTTTTTTTTTTTTTCTTTCTCTCTCAGACACCTTGGCTCTGGAATACCAGACAGTGCTGGAACGGGTATCCCTATCAGGTAAAAGTTACAGTGCTGACTAAAATAAATGTGACACCTTTGCACAGCTCTATTTTTATTATGGTGGAGCTTTGTGTCAATATGTTACTGTGAATGGGCTACTCGTCGTTTCAGAACATTGCTAGATGCTCCCCGTTTTGCTTGAATTCAAGATGAGAAAGATTAATACAGCTGTCACAGCTGTTTTGAAATGAAGCACAGGATCTGAAAACAGATTTGGGAAATCTAACCGTGAAAGCAGACATCAGCCACAGCAGTAGAATGGTCATTTTTTTACGAACTTTTGAGGATAGTGAAAGTTTTATCAAAGCCTCAGATTCAGTGGGTTGGGAAGAGTTCTCATAGTTGTTATACTGCATACAGAGTGAGACTTAATCCCTGGCAGTTGGTGTGATCAAAGAGGAGACTAAAGAGAGAAGGTGGGTTTCTCCTTCAGGTACTTAAATAGGGGCTATCTAGTTATGGCCTCATGGAAGCTTACAACAAAAGAAGGTAAAATTAATGAGAGAGTTGAGAATGATTTCAAGTCTTTATTTTCAGCAATGTCTGAATTTTAATGGATTAAAAAAAAAATCAGCCTTTCTCTCTGTTCTAGGTCAAAGTGTATAACTTAACTTCAAAGAAAGGACTTCAGTAGTTTTTCTCCTTTACTAAGGAGAAGAATGCCACTGTTAAAGTAAATACACTTCCAGGTTGTGTGCTGCTGCACTCATTCCTTCTTTCAGTCCTCCAAAAAATTTATCTCAAATTTGAAATTTGATTTCCTTAAAACAATTTTCAAAAGAACAATAAGAGTATACTTATTCCTTACTACACTGCTAAGGTTTTAACTAGTTCCAGGAATATTTAATTTGTATGTCAAAGTGCTGGACATCTTTGACAGCAGCACAGTTGCTCCAACGCTGTGCAGGTGCTGCAGTAACACCAGGATTAACTGTAGCCCTACAACTCCAGAAACTATTCTCTGACAGGGGAAGAAGGAGGAGGACAAGTGAAAAGAGAAAAGTAGAAATTTTATCTGTCATTATCTGGTTGGGCAGTGGCTTCTGAAGTTTGTATACTCAAAGAGCTGTGAGAAGCCTCTCCTGGGCTTTCCATTAGTTTGTGCTACTGGACATAGTTGTTAAAGAATGGGATATATTTAAACAGAGAAGTCAACCTGCTCTAGAGGATTCAGTGTGTTTCTCAGAAAAGAGAACCCCTGAACCCTGCCGTGGCTGAACCACTGCCTCATTTTGTCCCTTGGTCTGATACAAGTAGCTTTCAACAAGGATGTTGTGAAGATCAGTGAATTAATTAAATGCTCCCTTTTGTTATTTTTAATAATAACAGTAAGGTAGCCCTTTTCAGGAAGAAGTATTATCATGTATATGGGCTAGGAATGGACTTCGGAAACCCTTTTGGGAAAGCTAAGAGATACCTGTTTCCTCAATAACCTTTGTATAACAGGAGGCAACAAGAGATTAAAGTTGTGAAATATAGTTTTTCCTTTTGTTATAAATCAGAGATAACAAATGTTTCAAATATGACCTAATAGGATGGCCTTAAGAATTTTTAATAACTTTTGTGCATAACTTTTGGTAGCTTTTTTAATGAGTCTGAATTCTAATTCTAAACCTGAGCTTCTTTAAAATGCTTCTGGTTTTGTTTTATTTTTAATTTAGCATCCAGGAGTCTCAATAGAGATCACTGAGACATTGTACTAGCTGCTATCCAAATATAATGGACATTGAATTCCAAAAGCTCCAGTGAAGAGTTTGCAATTTAAGGACTCTAATCTGTCTAGGGCATATTGCTCTGTTTATTTTTGATTTATTTTGTTGGTTTTTTTTCCCTAAAGGACAGGGAGGAAAAAAAAAGTCATTGCCATACTTCAAAGTATGAAGAAGAGTATTTTCTGAATGACGCATGAATTCCCTGTGACAGTGAACAGCCCTGGACAGGCTGAACAGGAGAACTGTGTTTAGGTTTAGGTACTACTGTTCTGGAAGGTTGTGTACGTGTTGGAAATAGTTCAGTGGAGATAGTTCAGACCAGAAATCTTGATCTGAGAAAGGCTGAATGAATTTGGTCATTCAGCCTCAGAAGAAATAATGACTTAAATTCCACCCAGGGACTGGAGGGTGAACTGAATTACAGTAGGGAAGCAGCAGAAGGAATTGAGTGGGGAAGTTGTTGAATATTCATCCCTCAGAGATTTTAGGAACAATCATTTGTCAGAATTGATATGGCTGCAGTCACTGGTGCCTTTTGGTCCTGTTTGCTACTATTTTTGTGTTATTACATGCAAGAAGAGATTTACTTAAAACATAAGATGATGAATCTTACTGGTTAGAGAACATATTTCCCAGACTTATGAGAAGAATGAGGTCATTCAGAAAGTTAATTACAACTTTCAGAGGGTGGCAACTAAACTTACTGTGTCTAAAATCATGCTACTAGTGGAGAGGGCCCAACAGAAAGCAAATCATCAAATAAAAGTCATTATCAAGATCATTGTCTCAGGGATAAAAATGTCTACTGGGTGCTAATCAGGATTAAGTACTAAGTTTTCAATTTGGTTTGGGTTTTTTTCCTTAACTAGATAGAATTTCAAGTAAGTTACTCAACACAGCATTGCAGAAATCCAGCTGGACTTACTGTAGTCGTAGTCAAATGGATCATTTAGTTGACAGCTCTACCCGTAAGCACAGAGTAGTCCTATTGAAGTCAGGTGTATGGAGAACTGAAACCTAATGTTTAAACTAGGTTAAAATACACTATTGATCCTTTCGTAGAGGGAAACCATGATACCTTTAGAATCCCCTAAGTTATCATTATATATGGCTTTAGAAATACTAATGTTATTGTTAATAAAGTAGCTGACAATCTTAATTGTATTACTAGAAGTTTTCCCCAGTGAGTTCTCTTGCAATAATGAGTACAGTCATCGCAGTTTGTTGCTAACTCATGTTCTTTTTTTAATTACACCTAACTAAAAGCTTACTGGCAGTCTCACTACATCAGAAAAGGGTTATATTTGCCCTAGAAATGGCTTCAAAAGATTGATTTTTGGTGTACACATTTTTCATAAAGTATAAGCATATGTGTGTCTTTAAATAACCCACATAGCGGGCACTTAAGGACTGTTTTTCAGTGGTGAAGAACTGGTCTGCAAAAGGGAATGGGTAAAAAAGAGACCACTGAGATGCCTCGTGCCAATGGAAATAGCTCATGCCCTGCTTGGGTGCATGGTTCCATCAGTGCAAACTGCTCTAGAGATGATTCAGGTGATCCCTCAGGAGATGCCCTCAGGAGCTTCTCCTGTGCCAGTGCCCCTCTCTGTCCATGCGATAGAAGATGTGACTAGCAGGGAGGCACAACTGAGTGGAAATTGGAGTAGATCCTAGGACTAGCTCTCTTAGACTGGGGGCTAAACAGCCTACGAGTGCCACCAGTTACATTCTTTGAAGTTACCCCAGGTTGGTTTGGCTTGTGTGTCTTGTTATTTTTATTTCTTTTACTTTTAAGCATCTGTGCAACCATCTTGTATATCATACAAAATGCCTGAATAAATTTATGTTATTTTCTTCTTTCCAAATGTTAACATGTTCCCAGAAAATGGTAAAATTATTTAAAAGTAGGCTTTTATATTAGAAAAAGCCCTGTTTAAAGCTCAGAACATTTTAATCATGAGCAGATGAGATTATATACTAGCATTACTTTTCTGTAATCTGCTCTAGCATTGTTTCTTTGGCTGTGCTTTAAACCCATGTCACTAATGTACAGCAGGATGTTTCAAGTAATCTTTCAAAACAGACTTAGAAGTACTCAGCATTTAGTCTGTTCTTGGTTCTGATTGGTCAACATAATTTTTTGATATTGCAATATCACAGTACTGTCAAGATTAAAACATGAGAGTAGGTTGGGGAGCTTTATTTTTTTGGAGCCATCAAAGTTTGAGAGAGGCAACCATCATCATTTTTCTTACATAGGTTGCTCATGTATAATTCAATAACCCCCTGTGATTAAACGTCTCCTATAGACCTCAGCTGCCTGTAATGTCATTTACACTCTATTAACCTTTTCTCATCTCCATCTTTCAGCCACTGATGCCTGACCTTCATTATTACTACATAGTTGAATTGTCATTCTACTGGTCCTTAATGTTTTCTCAATTCATTGACATCAAAAGAAAGGTAAGAACAATGAGACTAAAAACACTGAAAGCTTTAAGCACGTATCTTTCTTGCTTTGAGGAATGTCTGTATTACCTGTGCAGTGAACTAGAAATGCGGTTCTTTTTAGTCACCACCTCTTGCGGATAATCATCGCTGAGAAACTACTGTTGAAGTGCTTGGCTTACTCTGTTCCTTGTTACTATGATGTGGGTTTTTTCTGCCCGTGGGAAGAAGAGCCTGGAGTAATCAAATATTCAAGGAGAAATAGCATCAGCCAAAAAAACCTTCTCTTCTCATACACTGACTTGAATGGAATTGAACATTTAGTAGCTAGTAGATGTACTGTTTCTTCTAAGAGTTAAGTGATGAAATATCAGTGACAGAGCAAGACTGCCTCATAAATTCACAGTATCATTTTGTTAAGATCTATGAGGGCTTTCATTTTTATCATTTTTATTCTACAAATGGATGGTAAAAACAGGGATACATTTAATATTAAAAAGTGATGTTACATTTACTCTTACCTTTACATTTATGAAATTTCAAGTAGCTGAGCATTGCTTTTAAGGGACTATTAATCAAGAAAATAAAACTCTGTCCAAATAAAAATATTTTTCCAGTATCAGTAGCAACCTGTTCCTTGTTCCTTCATCCAAGTTCTCTCCTCCTCCTCCTAGTCCATAGAACAGGCAGCACAACTGTCATTCTGTAATAACAGTCCATGGAGCTATTCTTGCGAGGCTTTTTAATGTTGCAAAATTATTTGTTTAAAACATTGGCCCCGGTGGTCAAGAAGGCCAACGGCATCCTGGCCTGCATCAGCAATAGTGTGGCCAGCAGGACTAGGGAAGGGATTGTGCCCCTGTACTCAGCACTGGTGAGGCCACACCTTGAATCCTGTGTTCAGTTTTGGGCCCCTCACCACAAGAAGGACATTGAGGTGCTGGAGCGAGTCCAGAGAAGGGCAATGAAGCTGGTGAAGGGTCTGGAGCACAGGTCTGATGAGGAGCGGCTGAGGGAGCTGGGGGTGTTTAGTCTAGGGAAGAGGAGGCTGAGAGGAGACCTTATCACTCTCTATAACTACCTGAAAGGAGGGTGTAGTGAGGTGGGTGCTGGCCTCTTCTCTAAAGTAACAAGTGATAGGACAAGAGGAAATGGCCTCAAGTTACACCAGGGAAGGTTTAGGCTGGATATTAGGAAAAATTTCTTCACTGTAAGAGTGGTCAGACATTGGAACAGGCTACCCAGGGAGGTGGTTGAGTCACCATCCCTGGAGGTGTTCAAGAAACGTGTAGATGTGGTGCTTAGGGACATGGTTTAGTGAGTTAGGTGGTGTTGGGTTGGACTTGATGATCCTTGAGGTCTTTTCCAACCTTAATGATTCTATGATTCTATGATTGGGAATGATTATATAATATTTTTACATGCCTCCTTCTACTGTCATTTAATTAAATGATTGTAGGCTATGCTAATGGAAAAATCCCTGTTTACCAGAATTTTAGCAGGAGCATAACTCTGGAAAGAGTAAATGAAGGATCCAGTATGTCCTGAATAAATTCATCTGCTATTTGGAATCACAGTGTGCTCCTGGGATACTTGTGTCAGAGCTACATATATAGGAAAACACCTCTCTATTTGAATTTCCAGTTATTTCTAGAAGTAGAAAACTCAAGAAAACATCCACAAATTTTAAGTCCATATTGGAGGGTAAACTGTAAACAAAACAACCAATTTAGGATGAATACATGTAAATCGCTTGCTTGCATTGTCTATAGCTACTAAACATTCTGTTAATCATGAGCTTGAAACAAGTACAGCTTCACTGTTTCAAAAAACAGAGATGCAGAAGAACAGTGCTCAGCGGAGATGTATTATATTGGATTTAAATCAAGACTGACATTGACTAGTATGCGTAAGCTGCAGGTGGCAGCAATACTGAATAGCCCTTTGTCTCTGTATCAACCAAAACCAAACCTCTGCAGCAATGTTGCAGGATTGTTTGGGTTATTGCCGCAGAAATGTGTTGTGTCTAATCAGTCCCCCTACATTCATATTCAGCCCTCTGCACTGTGCAATTAGTTACATTTTATTTTCTTTGTGTACCTCTTGAGGGAGAGGAAAATGTAACAACATTGCAATTGCAACCATATTGCAATTTTGCAGTACAATGCATCTTTAGAGAATATTTAATTGATTCCTGACTAGTTGCTTTGCTCATGTGAAAACTAATTGGAGGTTACCTGAACACGACCTAGGTTCAGCGCTGAGGTACTTTTCTGAAAAGGGCCATTGGGAGCAAGACCTTTCTCAATACATCTCATAAGCAAATGCTATAGCTTTTTCCCTCATGACTTGGAGAGTTTATTCACATTGGTGAGCTGAGCACAGAGCTAAAACCTGATCCTGTCCATAGTACAGGTGCAAATAAACCATCTTCTGTGTCTGTTTCTCAGTTACATGTAAATGACCTGTACTTGTTATCAGAAAGACTTTGGAAGAGCCTACTGTGGAAATAGAATGGGAGATGGAAGTGGGGAAGTGGATCACTAGCAGCTAAGTAACACCCCTGCTGCGGATTTGCAGTGCTTGAACCCAGAGCACCAGATCAAAGCAGTGTCCCATGCATCTGCTGTGTCTGAAAATGTCCCATGTCCAACAGAGAGCAGGAGCACAGTATCTGCAGTGAACGATAGCAAGTCAAAAGCCTTCATTATGAACACCCTGCAGGAAACAGTGGAGATGCCATATTTATAAATAAACTATTAGATCACTGACCAGTTTGGACTGTGGAGACAGTGCTTTTTGTAGTGTAAGCAAAAATGATAACTAGGAAGATCAGACTGGAGAAATGTGGGCATGTGCTGGTGTCATACAGTAAAACTGTTCTGTAGCCAGGGGTGAGTGCAAGCTGTCAAGGAAACCTATGAGATCAAAAATTATAGCACTGGGAGCTTCCAGTCGTTGACAAAAAGCACTACAAGCTTGACAGAGACAGCAGCTCTTGCAGCACCATAGCAGTTATCTTTTAAAGACCAGGTTTGGTTTAAAAAACATGGAAACCTCTTAATGTTCCCAATATAGAATCACGGAATCATAGAATGGTTTGGGTTGGAAAGGACCTTAAAGATCATCAAGTTCCAACCCCCCTGCCATGGACAGGGACACCCTCCACTAGCCCAGGTTGCTCAAAGCCTCATCCAGCCTGGCCTTGAACACCTCCAGGGATGGGGCATCCACAGCTTCCCTGGGCAACCTGTTCCAGTGTCTCATGATCCTCACAGTGAAAAATTTCTTCCTCATGTTTAGTCTAAATCTGCCCTCTTTCAGCTTATACCTGTTACCCCTTGTCCTCTCACTACACTCCCTGATGCAGAGTGCCTCCCCATCTCTCCTGTAGCCCCCTTCAGGTACTGGAAGGCTGCTATTAAGTCTCCTTGGAGCCTTCTCTTCTCCAGGCTGAACAACCCCAACTCTTTCAGCCTGTCCTCATAGGGAGGTGCTCCAGCCCTCTGATTAATTTTGTGGCTCTCCTCTGGACTCTCTCCAACAGGTCCAGGTCTTTTTTATGTTGGGGGCCCCACATCTGAACACAGTACTCCAGGTGGGGTCTCACGAGAGCAGAGTAGAGGGGGAGAATCACCTCCTTCAACCTGCTGCTAATGCTTCTTTTGATGCAGCCCAGCACACAGTTGGCTTTCTGGGCTGCAAGCGCACACTGCCTGCAATGTGTGAAATGATACCCATATGAAATAAGCTTTGTTTAAGTGGTAGAAGCAGGAAATTTACCAGCTAATATCAGACACTGTTGTGGTACTTCATGACAGCTTATACAAAGTAGATTAACAGTTCTCAGCCTGAGAAACCTGTTTTCATCTTATAGTGAGAGAAATACTTTTATCTAAGTCTTGGTTATCAGTTTAGAGATTTTAAATTCAGCAGCAGCTTTGTTGTAGTCTGGGATGACCAAAAGTGCCCTGGCAGCCTTGTCCACTGCAGGAGTTCAGCCAGCCGCTTTTATGTAGCTGGGTTTCTCTCAGGGTGAGGTTCAGTAGGTCTTCTCTGAACACACCAGCACTTGGCACTGGCCTAGCTCCAGCACTGGTCTTTTACTCGCTGTAGCTCAAGAGAAATGTGCTTGCTGTTTTCCAACTCTGTTTTTTAATTCTCTAATAGCAAATTAATGACTTTAAAATTACTTTCAATTGGTTTGCTGACTTTCAAATACCTGTTTATTTAGGTATTATAAATTCCACCAGATTATCTTTGCCTGGCTGAAGAGGTGTGACCAAACTATTTAGGCTTTTGCACATACCTACTATTGGCATTAAGGCAGCCAACTGAGTAGATTAACTTTTATGGTTTTATAATGCCATGTTGTTTGCTTCATAAATATATACTATGTTGCTGTAATGATGTTCTACTGTTAAGGGTTTTCATTTTCACAGACTGCAAAACCTATTATGATCTGTTTTTTAATCGTCTCTGTCCAGCTTCCCATACATCCTCTTCTATAAAACACAGAAAAAAAAATTAGATTGGGAAACTTTGTTACTCTTACAAGCCCCTGATGAATTTTAAAAGCAGTGAGGCTTAGTTACATGCTTCCTGGATAACTGAAGTATTGTTTGGTAGAAAAACATTTGTCCAGTGTGTTTAAGGGAATGTATAAAATTTCTACTCAGTCATTGTTTTAATAGGTTTATAGAAGAACCAGGAGACCTTTCTGTGTATTCACAGCTTTTAGTTCCAAGCATTTGGCAATTCCTAGAGCTTCTATTTTACTTTTTTTTTTTTTTAAATGACAGTTCACTCATTGCCAAAATAATCTGCAGCTGCTAATTTTCTTGAATATTCCATTTTGATTCTAGGAAATTCATGCCATATTTCATTGATCCTAGATCTCTTTCTTCAATCTCAGTAAAAAAAAGAGTCAGAGAGCTGATTTCTTTTGTTTCTGAGGAAAGGAATTTAGATTGTGTACATTTTGCAGACTTTTACTAGAATTACAGCGGTTGAAACCTTTAGCTGGTGATACTCCCCTTCCTTGTTGAAGCCCATTTCCTGAAGCTGGAGTGACTAATGAAGATGATGTTTAGCCCTTCAGTGGCACTAGTGCTCCATAGCCAGCTGGCAGTTTAGTCAGTGAGTGTGTCATGTTAAACAAGCGTGAGCAGCAGAAGCCTTGAGTCCAGAGGGCTCATCTACAAGTTGAGACCCCTGGGCTTTCCCCATTGTCTGCCCTGCGTTCTTCCCACTGATGCTGTCAGAAGTATGTTCTTTCTCCTGTTCTTAGCCATGTATTTCATGACACAGGCACATGATATCTTTCAGCAGTTTAAACTGGAGGCTACAAATCTGCTGTAAATAAATGCATCTTGCGCAAATATAAATACAGTTTGAAATACATTTTAAAAAAAGAAAAGGCCATTCCTATGCAACTGCTCTTCTGCTGTGTAAGTGCTCGAGCAAGCTGGGAACACAAGTACCACTTGACATTATGGGAACTTGTACCATTAGTTTATATGTATTCATTGGCCTTATGTATAATTAAAATCTATCTGGTAGCATCTTCAAATCATAGTGTTAATTACTATGACTAAAGAAATGTCACAAACAGGAAAGAAAGGACAAGAATAACAGAAGTAGTCTTATTTAGATCACTTCTAGATCATTTTTTCTAAAAATTTTCAGTAGGTCAGTCCAACATCTCCATTTCAGAGCTGGCAGAGTCAGATAACTGTCTCTTTTAAGAAGCATTATCAGAGAAGCAGTTGCCTGGACAGCATTTCTGTAAGTAGACTTATGCAGAAACACAGAGACTACTGCCCAAGAGCGTAAGGGCTGCTCAGGAATGATCTATATTATCAGGAATGATTCCCAAGAGGGACTAGAAATCTCATATTTGTAGAACATGAATGTGTCAGCTATAAAAAACAGACGCGAATTTTACACTTGGCTTCTTCCCCTGTTCAGACTGCCTTTGTGCTAACATAATTGCAGTGAGTAGGAAAATGAAGAACAGTGCCATAGCATTTTCAGCTGAAGCAGGTAAAGAGCTAGGCTGCAGTATGGCCATACGGCAATGCTAGTAGCTTACTTCTAATCCCAGGGAATATGGTAGGTGCTTTGTTATTTTGATTATGGAATGGTGAAATGGTCCCCATGTATGTGTTTGTAGTGACTGAAATGTCTAAGATGCTCTAAGCCTGCTTTCCCTTATGACTTGGGAAGGGAAACAGGCTTTAATTCTCTTTATGCTTTAAGAAAATGGATTTAAAGCAGTGACTTGAGATGACTGCAGAATGTGTTTGATTGTGCTCCACACTGCTGGAAACCAAATCACCTGGCTTAGAAATGTTGGGTGTATACCAAACTAGGATACAGTTCTGTGCTTTTAGTTTGGTTTTGGTTTTGTTGGGTTTTTTTTCCCTTAGCTTCACCACTTCCAGTATTTTTCAATAGTTACTTGCTGGCCACATAACTCAGTTGCTGATCTGGAGACCAGCTAACCTGCATCATTTGGGAGGCAGCAGATTAGATCTAAGTAGGAGGAGCTGCACCAGTTGATTTAAAGACTTTTATGACCCTATTACAGTGTGAAGACAAATCAGCTTCGTTAAAAACAAGCAAATAAAAAACTGGAACTGGGGTTCTCAGCTCTGTGAAAGCTCCCAGTTATGCTTGGCAGGTGACTATCGCTAACTCCTAGTGCGATGGAAATGTGTTTCCCGTTCCTTTGTAGCTCTTTTAACTCTTGTGAACAGTGCATTATTTTGCATATTACATGTTGCTTGGTGCATAAGGAATATGGTGTAACTTGATTTGTATGTACATATGCCTTTTCAAAGTAACTTTGGCTGCAAATGTTTACTTCATTAGGTTAAATTATTATGAACTGAGAAGTGTAGATATTGCCTAGCTTTCAATAATCTTTTTGCCTTTTTTTAATGTACATGGATTATTTTATTCAGTCTAAGTGAAACATATAGCGGGGTATTTAATGCACCTATGTAGTAGGATCTTTATGTAACATAATCATAATGCTGGGTTTAAAAAACATCCATCCATTTTTGTGTAAGAGTACTGAATCTCACTGTTTGGTTCATTGGTTTTGTTGTTGTTTTTTTTTCCCTGCTTCTTGCTGCTTTAGGATTTTGGCATCATGTTTACACATCACATTGTAACAGTCACCCTGATAACCTTCTCATATGTAACCAATTTGACACGAGTGGGAACCTTGACCTTATGTCTCCATGATGCGGCTGATGTTGTCCTAGAGGTGAGATAACACGTATATCATCAGTGTCTGTTCATGGTATTCACTATTCTGAGAGCTCGCATGTCAATAGGTAGAATCTATTTGCTATTCAAAACAAGTATTTCTTAAGGAAAGAGACCAGTTCAAGATGGTAATGGTGATTAATATAGTGTATTTCCTTGCTAAAATATATTACACTTGTAGCAGTGCATGTGTGTGACTTTAGGCTGTTTAATCTGTTGATAAGTTGCTTGTACAGAGCAGAGGCTGGTAATGTGTTGCATGCCAGGGAGGGTTCCACACAGATTTTAAATATAACATGGTAAAGTTGAAAGCTCAAAGTTGCAAAATCTGGAAACTGATGACTGTGTGGAATAGAAGCTCCTGATTCTTGACCCCTCTGATGTGTTGTGTGGGACAAGAACCCTGTCTCCAAAAGAATCAAGGTCTCACGGTTTGATTCTGCTGTGCTTTGCTGGGCAGAAGGTGCTGGACAACTTAGTGGCTGTTCTGTGCATGGGCAGTGAGCTTACCTCTGGTCCTCAGGATTTTCCAGGTTCCCATGCCTTCACATGCCGATGCCAATATTAAACACTTGGATTTGAAGAAGAAGGAATGATTGAAATTCTTTTAAATCAAAATGGTCTGTAACTTCCATAGTGGCAATTTAGAGATGTTGTCATCCTGTATCTGCATCAGTTTTTAGACAATTATGGGTGATGCTGTGATTGGGCTGTCTGAACTCTCCATCAAGATCAAACCAAAATTAATAACTATTTTCTCTGAAATTATTTTTTACCAAAGTAGTTGCAGGGATCCTGTTATGCAAGAATATAGTCTCACTGTGTGAGTCACCTATTGCAGAATCAAAATCCTGCCATTCTGATTTGATACTGCAGTATTTTTTGTCTTTTTTTAATCTAGAAGGCACATCACTGCCTGAGATAGAAAGCAACACAGAATCTGGCTGAAATAATTGTATCTTTACAAGTTTATTTTTCTGTTTTAGCAATGTGTGTAGATCCATTCTGCTAGCTGAGTTCACCCAAACTTTCTTCATTCCTCTTTTCTCACCACCAGACAGATATACTTGACAGTATTCATTCCAGATCAGACCAGTGCCTGTGGAACTATAAAGTCACTGGAGAGCAGCTGTAGTAGGCTAAAACCTTATATTGAACACAGTGAGATACATATTTTGTCTTAATTCCTCTGTTCATTCACTGGCTAAGACAATGAGAAATTGCTGGTGTTCTCACATGATTTTGCAAAGATTCAGCAAGTATTCTTGCCCATGAGACACGTACTTTAGTGGTCTTTCTAGTCAATTTGTTCAGTCTGTTCTGACTGGAAATACTAAGGTGAGTCTATAAAATATAAGGAAGAGAATCATGACTCCTGAGAAATATTTACTAGAAGGGCCATTACGACGCACTCAACAGACTTTCTTTTGCTGGGGCAATGGGTCACAGCCCCGGTGCCATATGAGAGAAGATGGACTCCTACACACTGATGATGTTACTGAGGGAAAAGTCAGTGCAGAGGAAGAAAATTATCAAACTGCAAAAGCAGCTGGTAAAATATCTTGCCATGATGGGTGAGTGGTGCACCTGACCTGTTTTGTATACTATATATTTGTAAAAATGAAAAGTTATTTCCAGAGGCCACTAGACTCTTTCCACCTACCATTTCATAATGGAACATGTCCAGTGGAAAGCTGCAGTGCAACATTTTTGCTATTCTCATTGTGGAAAGTAGTATATATTGGTAGGAACACTGGAGGTGAAGTGTTTTCCGTAGATCTTAAGGCATCTGAAAGCCCAGAAGAGTCATAGTAGAATTTTCAGGAATACGTATCTATTCTCTTAGGTCCGAGTGAAAGTTATCTTAGATACTCAAAGCAGCCTAGCCACAGCAGGACAGACCAGACGTAGAGTCATATGCTTGCCTAGGAAGCCGTTACATTAGCTTAAGCTGAAATATAGGCTACTGATAGGCAACTTTCAGAATCCCAGCTAAGTTGTTTAAGGGGACTTGGGTATCATTTCACTGCAGTGCAGCTTGTGGTTTGGAAACACTGTAGCCTAACCTGCTGAAGCGCTTAAGATGCCACCTATTTGGGGACCTTGAGACTTTTCAGCTTCAATTAATGTGACAATTTTTGATGCCAATGTATGGATGTGAGTTGTTGACAATTTGGCATGCTTCTGGTGTATGAGCCTCACATAGCTGACAGTTCAACCTGAATCCTTTCTGTTGGGTTCCAGCTATCTCCTAACACACTTTTCTAAAAGAACAGGGAACGGGCACTTCAGACCAAGGCAAATAGCTGTGCTGCAAAAGGAATGGACTAAAATAGACTGGCAAGAGTATCTGGAAGAGCTGTGTTATTCGGTTGTAGTCATGGTTTTTAAGTTGTGTTGTATTAGGTGGCCAAATTCCATCCAACACCATACTCTTTCCTTTTATTTGTAGTCCTACCTTATCAATATCATTTGTAGATTTGTTACTTGAGAACTGATGAGCCAACATCTGTACTGTTTTTGAGAAATTATATTATAATATTAGAAGGTGCCGTAGGAATATCAGCTCCGCACACTATGAGGTGGTTAATGAGCAGTTTCAGTAAAGAGTAAGTAATTAGTAGACTCCTTCATTGAGGAGGAATAGAAGACTGTACGAAGACAAATGAGAGAAGCATGTAAAAAGAGGTGTAGGGCAACAAGTTAGAAAGCAAAAGTTGGGAAGAGAGCTTTGGAAAAAGGTGTGAAGAGGAGGGGTATAATCTTAGAGGTAGAAACTGTTCTGTATGGGCAAGAAAGGAAGAAGAGATGCTGTAGCCGAAGATAGGATATGGGGCACAATAGAGAATTTGAGATGAAGTTTATATATCGCAACACTAGAAGGTCAGAGAGCACAGCACAGGTGGAAGATGGATGGTGGAGAGAATGCAAGTGGAGCATACTGGAAAGGTGAGAGACGGGTAGATAAAGAGGTTGGGTGCAAGGACAGCATAAACACAATGGGGTTCAATAAAAGGCTTAGAAAAGTTTTGTGAATCTGAAATGGTAGGATTTCAAGAACAAATTTGAATGGGGAAGGAAGAAATGAGAGATGTACTCTGGTTTTACACTCTGTTTTTTTTCTAAGAAGATATTTTCCTGATGCATGGTGGAGAGGAATTACAAGGTCACTGTGAGATGGCCCCATGAAAATATTAGCCATTTCGTAAAAATTTTATTTCTTCTTCTTACAGCTTATACACAATACAAGAGAAATCAGTTGTCCTCACAGAAGTAAACAGACATTTCTTTCTTTTACAGGCTGCCAAAATGGCAAACTATTGCAAGTGTCAAAAACTGAGTGACCTTCTGTTCCTTACATTTGCCATTGTCTTCATTGTCAGTAGGCTTGGCATATATCCCTTATGGTGAGTAAGCATATCGTTTTCCTCAAATGCTGAGCGTCAAACAAGCTTGGAAATACCTATGTCATAATTGAACATGATTCATTGACGTTACTCTATTTCCCAAAGCACCAGGAAGAGTTTCAAACATAACCAGGTGCTGAAATAGCCTATTTGCTAAAGTGCCATTGTGTTTCCTGTGTGCTAGACAAGAAATATATGAGGCTTCTGCTGGTTTTAAGGTAGAAGTGGGTTGGAGACCACATAGCTTCAAGTTAGCAGTTGGTTGCCTGTGTTGGAAAGAAGTTAGAGGAGAAATAAAATATTAGTCACCAAAGACACTGACCAGAGGCTAAGCTTGGAGCTAGGATCTTCTCGTTAGCTTTCAGTGCACACTTCATGAACATGTTCAGCTTAAAAAAAAACACAGTGAGATAAGGAAAGTCTGTCACACTGAAATCAGTATAAGGATGTTATTGCCATGCAGATTGCAATACTGCAAGCTACTCCTTTTCCACCCCTCCACTGAATTAGGGGTCCTGGGGAAGCTGTGTAATACATACATCTGTGAAGTGTTACTGTAATCTCACCTCTTTGCAGACAAAGGCAGCTGTTTACATGTGCACATAGTCTCTTTTCTAGGTACACACATGTGCATGCACACAAACAAGACACAGATGTTCAGTTCTTTAGCTAGGGTCTACAACATCCAGAAGACAGCTGGCTAGTTAGGAAATACACTGTTGTACTTCAGTGTAGGAACCCATTCAAGTTTCTCTGTGTCCTATATATGAGGGGGGCTGGGAGAAGGCATTGGCCTCACTCTTTTGTGTTCTGGATCCTTCCTTTCTCTTGTATGAAGAGAACTAACCCAAATCTCTGTGTCCCTATGAGAGCAAGAGGGGTCTGTCATTGCATCAGAAGATAACAGTGGTAGTTTTGGTTTTGGGAAGCACCAAGAATGCTAGAAATGTTATCCTTTGCAGAGTTTTATTTAGAGATTACCACCAAGCTCCTTATTTAAGCACGCAGAGGATTTACAGATGCCAGTATCAACCTCTCTGCCACAGTTTCCTTTCAAATCCTCCATAATGATATTTCTTCGGGGTTTTGTTAATGCAACCAGGATAACACCAAGGTGCCCCTACGGAGCTGTGTCATCAGCTCTGCTTAACAGTACAATGTAGAAGTCTTGCTTAGCATTTAATGACTCCAAAGATAATGTGATAATGCCTGGTCCCTACTGTGCTGTGAGTTGGTGAAGGACCATGACAAAAGGAGAAGATGGATGGACACAAACTGTGTGTTTAAAATTGCCTGTTATTTTTTCTAAGGAGCGATTATTTGTTTCTTAAACAGCTTTGCTTCTTTTTCCTCAGTCATTCCTTGAAGCTAACTTGGCCATTCACTGAATTTCTGTAAATGAAGTAAGCTAGTTTTCCTACTTGCATGATCTGACATGGGAAAAATGGTGGCACTCCTGCTCATGGGATTTCATGTGCATGTTGCAGAAATGTAGGGAGGACCCAATTCCACCAGTGCAGTTCTGCCACTGGAGACTGCAGTACATGACTCTGCTTCAGGGAAGGCTCAGTAAAATGATGACTGGATGGGTTTGCAAAGGGGAAGTCATACTTGACCAACCTGATAAGCTTCTATGATGAAATGGCTGGCTTGGTAGGTGAGGAGAGAGCAGTGGATATAGTCTACCTTGACTTCAGTAAGGCTTTTGACACTGCCCTCTGGAAGATCCTGAGAGAAAAGCTGATAACAGATAGGCTAGATGAGCAAACAGTGAGGTGGACTGAAAACTGGCTGAGCAGCCAGACCTAGAGGGTGGCCATCAGTGGTATGAAGTGTAGTTAGGGGCCAGTAACTAGCAGTGCACCCCAGGGGTCAATACTGAGTCCAGTCCCATTCAACATCATTAATGATGTGGATGATGTAGCAGGATGCCCCCTCAGCAAGTTCGCTCAAGTTCCAACCTGGGAGAAGCAGCTGATACACCAGAGGGCTGTGGGGCCATGCAGAGGGAAAGAATCTCAACACGCTGGAGAAATGGGCCAACGGGAACCTCGTGAGGTTCAGCAAAGGGAACTGCGATGTCCTGCACCAGTATGTGCTGAGGGCTGACCAGCTGGAAAGCAGCTTTGCACAAAAGGACCTGGGGGACCTAGTTGAACGTGAGCCAGCAATGTGCCCTGGCTGCAAGGAAGGCTAATGGTATCCTGGGGTGCGTTAGGAGGAGTGCTGCCAACAGGCTGACAAAGGTGATCCTTCCCCTCTACTCAGCAGTGGTGAGGCCACACCTGGAGTACCATGACCAGTTCTGGACAGGAGAGATACCAGAGATACAAAGCTACTGCAGAGAGTCCAGTGAAGGGTCACTAAGATTGGTTAAGGGACCGGAGTACCTCTGACATGAGGAAAGGCAGAGAGAGCTGGAACTGTTTAGCATAGAGAAGAGAATGCTTGGGATTAATATTATCAGTCTATATAAATATATGAAGGGAGAGTGTAAAGAAGACTGAGCCAGGCTCTTTTCAGTGTTGCCCAAGGCTAGGATCAGAGGCAATTAGCATGAACTGAAACACAGCAGTTTCCATCTTTTCACTGTGAGGGTGACTGAGCACTGACATAGGTTGCCCAGAGATCTTGTGGAGTCAAAATCCTTGGAGATACTCCAAAGCCATCTGGACATAGTCCTGGACAGCCTGCTACAGGTGACCCAGGTTGATCAGGGCAGTTGGACAAGATGATGTCCAGGGGTGCTTTCTGACCTCAGCCGTTCTGTGATTCTCTGAGTTGCCCTATGTGTTTAGCTGTGACTCCAGCATTTAAACCTCACTCTGTATTGTTTGAAATGGCAAAGAAGGAACTGCTGACTTGGAATTTTTTGTTATCCAAACACAAACTTTACCAGATCACTGCTGTGTGCTTGCGTTGCTGAATAGTCAACAAAGAGCAGATTAATCTTGTCCAGAGTGCACGATTTTGAAGGAGATAATTAGTCTTCACACATAACTAGAAGCAGCTGCCCAATGTGCTTTTTCTCTTGAGACATCTGAAAGTCAGCAAGGTCAAGATTTTCCCATCCTTTACATCCTTACTATGGTAGTCAAGTTCAACCTGAAGTGTTTAAAATAACACTGTGTTTTTATAATTGGAACCGAAGCTCAGAAACTGGAGATTCATGCTGTCTCGAGTGATTTCTGTGAAGTGTTAGAGCCAAGTGTGACACTGTGCAGGAAGCCCTTGCTAGGACTAGGCAAATTCTAAAGTAAAGATTGACATGGCTAGTGGGAATTGGGCATTGTAGAGCTGAAGCCTGTGTAAGTGTCCCTAATACACCTTCATGCTGTCTGGCTGGTGGAGTCCCAGAAGAGATTACCAGCACAGTGATAAGTTACCTAGCAAGTGTCAAAACTTGAGTCGTGCTTTACAGCTGTGGCATTTTGTGCTGGTGTTCTGCGTGAGCTCATCCATTCCTGTTTATGTTAGGTGACAGCAGCACTTCCATGTCACTTTAGATTGAACCTCGTCTGAATCCTGCTCTATAGAGTAGCACTGGCCCAGTGTGCTGAAAGAAGAGTAAAAAGAAAAGCAAGTAGTTCTGGGGAAGGGAGAAAGGGAAGAGGTCTGCACAGTAACTTCTGGTCTTGATGTCAGCTCCCTTGGGCTAATGAGGGCAGCAGGTTACAGCTGTCGGTGAGGTTTGTTGCTGCGACTCTAGAAGGCAGTGAAGGCAGAGGGATTGTGTATTACGGGAATGCAGCAGCCGACACTGTGCTGTGTGCTCCTGTGTCACAGATGGCGTGGTTACACTGACAATCCCTCTGCCTCTTCTCTCCCTGAATCGACAAAATAATGTGTGTATTTATTTGGATATGCAAATGGTTCAGTGTGGTGTATATGGTCTTTGATTTTTAAGACCTTCTTGTTTCCAGACCAAAGCCTTGAAGGATGTACTCCTGGTGGTTACCTTATAACAGCTCTAGTCACAGAGCCCAGAGGCAGTTTCATAGTTCTCTGCTGGACTGTGGCCATTGCGTGTGGGAGTCAGGGTTAGCAGGGATGAAGCATGGGACGTACGAGCTTGTCTCTCCCAAATCCTTTTTCTCTCTGAAACAGCAGTTCTAAATCTTCACCCCCATTAGCTTGCATGTCAGCAAAGATGAGTCATTGGAGTGGCAGCAGGCCAGGAAGCTTAGTTTTGCTCTCCTTTGCTGATATTCAAAATAGTGAAATTGGGAGCCTGATTAATATTACATAAATATGCAAATTTTTCTAGCATAAAAACTGAGAGGTATAAAATTGGTAAAAGGAAGACTGTAATTTATAAGAAAATTTACTCCACACAGGAAGCCGAATACCCAAGACAGGCTTCCAGAGACATCACTTATGAAGCACTGGCATGCTGTTGTGCTCCGGATTTGCACAATTGCCATTTAATTTTGCATAAAGGTGCTAATAAAGAATTCAGAATGTATCAAATGCTGTTGTTTGAAGGTTGTTTTGCAGTGGGCCTAAGACAAAAGGAACTGGCAATTAGGTATATATTTAGCAGTCTTTCTGCAAGGCATCTGGAGTTCATTTCAGCAATAATTCAAAAACCCCAGGACACTTTCTGCCTCCTGCTGCTAAGTGAATGTAGGAGTAAAGCTGCTATTTTCACTGACAAGACATTTTGCTTGTGAAATTCTCCCACTTGCGCATAATCACTGTTCTAGCAAATTACAACATAAAACACAACTCTCCATGAGTCAGGGGGAACATAATGCCTTCTCAGGTGATAACTGAATTGTGGGGACAATGAAACCAATCTCAAACGAAAGAATTGATATAAATTATGTGAGACCTAGGCTAGTCTAATCAGGCTGGGCAATGCCTTTCTTTATTTCAATAAGCCTTGCAATTCCTCTTCCCCAGGCCTCAAATGCTTGTTTTTGCTGTAGCTACATGGGCATAGTCTCCTCTCGACTGATAAAGGAATGGTTTGTTTTTTGCTGTTGTTTTATTTTTTC